AAAGAAACCGATCAGGTTTCTTTCACAACTGACAAACAGTGTAACTGATAGAGCAACATAATGATGGACTACTATGTTTTGTCTGCTGAAATATATGTTGTTGGGCCCAGAAGCTGGAAACACGCACATACATACATACACACACACACACACACACACACACACACACACACACACACACACACACACACACACACACACACACACACACACACACACACAAGATTAGTCCAGGAGCTAAGGGGTATGTCCTGCTAGGAGAGGTTAAGGGAAATCGACTTGACGACATTGGAAGACAGGAGAGATAGGGGGGATATGATAACGACATATGATATACCGAGAGAAATCGACAAGGTGGACAGGATGTTCCAGAGATGGGACACAGCAACAAGGAGTCACAGTTGGAAATTGAAGACACAGATGAGCCACAGGGATGTTAGGAAGTATTTCTTCAGTCACAGAGTTGTCAGGAAGTGGAATAGCCTAGGTAGTGATGTAGTGGAGGCAGGATTCATACATAGCTTTAAGATGAGGTATGATAAAGCTCCTGGAGGGGGAAGAGTGACCGAGTAGCGGCCAGTGAAGAGGTGGGACCAGGAGGTGTGACTCGTCCCCTGCAACCACAAATAGGTGAGTACAACTGGGTGAATACACACTCACGTTCACAATCACGGAGACAATAACAGATGCAATCTTCCCACCAGGATACGAGATCATGAGGAAAGATAGAAGGGGCAGGGGGGAGGTGGGGTTGCTCTGCTCGTAAAAAACAGATGGAAATTCGAGAAAATGGAAGGCATAGATGAGACGGGAGAAAGAGACTACATAGCAGGTACACTTCAGGCTGGAGAACACAAAGTGGTCATTGCAGCGATGTATAATCCACCACAGAACTGCAGGAGGCCAAGAAAGGAATATGAAGAGAGCAACAGAGCAATAGTGGACCCACTTGCTGAGGTGGCAAGAAGAGCTCATTCCAGCAGAGCAAAGTTGCTGGTTATGGGGGATTTCAAGCACAGGGAGATTGACTGGGAAAACCTGGAGCCACATTTGGATCCCGAAACATGGAGAGCCAGGATGTTGGACGTGGTGCTGGAAAACCCCATGCACCAACATGTTAAGGACACTACCAGAGTGAGAGGGGAGGATGAACCAGCAAGATTGGACCTTGTGTTCACCCTGGGCAGCTCAGACATTGAGGACATCAAGTATGAGAGTCCCCTAGGAGCTAGCGACCACGTGGTTCTGTGCTTTGAATACATAGTAGAGCTGCAAGTGGAGAGAATAACAGTAGTTGAATGGGAAAAGCCTGACTATAAAAGAGGGGACTACATAGGGTTGAAGAACTTCCTGCGGGAGGTCCAGTGGGACAGAGAACTGGCAGGAAAGCCAGTAAATGAAATGATGGAATATGTAACAACAAAATGCAAGAAGGCAGTGGAAAGGTTTATTCCCAAGGGCAACAGTAACAACGGGAAGACCAGAACGAGCCCCTGGTTTACCCGACGGTGTAAGGAGGCAAAAACAAAGTGCAATAGAGAATGGAAAAAGTACAGAAGGCAGAGAGCACACGAAAATAGGGAGATCAGTCGCAGAGCCAGGAATGAGTATGCACAGGTAAGGAGGGAGGCCCAGCGACAGTATGAAAATGACATAGCATCGAGAATCAAGACTGACCCGAAACTGTTGTATAGCCACATCAGGAGGAAGACAACAGTCAAAGACCAAGTGATCAGATTAAGGACAGAAGGTGGGGAACTCACAAGAAATGATCAGGAGGTATGTGAGGAGCTGAACAGGAGATTTAAGGAAGTTTTTACAGTAGAGACAGGAAGGGCTGTGGGAAGACAGCACAGAAGGGAACATCAAGAGGGAATATACCAACAAGTGTTGGATGACATACAAACAACTGAGGAGGAGGTGAAGAAGCTCTTAAGTGACCTTGACACCTCAAAGGCGATGGGACCGGACAACATCTCCCCATGGGTCCTTAGAGAAGGAGCAGAGATGCTGTGCGTGCCTCTAACCACAATCTTCAACGCATCCCTTGAAACTGGGCAAGTACCTGAGAAATGGAAGACAGCTAATGTAGTCCCCATATTTAAGGAAGGAAACAGAAACGTGGCACTAAACTACAGACCTGTGTCTCTGACATGTATTGTGTGCAAAGTCATGGAGAAGATTATCAGGAGGAGAGTGGTCGAACACCTGGAAAGGAACAAGATTATAAATGAAAACCATCATGGGTTCATGGAAGGCAAATCTTGTATCACAAACCTCCTGGAGTTTTATAAGGTAACAGAAGTAAGACACGAGAGAGAGGGGTGGGTAGATTGCGTTTCCCTAGACTGCAGGAAGGCCTTTGACACAGTTCCCCACAAGAGATTAGTGCAGAAGCTGGAGGATCAGGCGCATGTAAAAGGGAGGGCACTGCAATGGATAAGGGAATACCTGACGGGGAGGCAGCAACGAGTCATGGTACGTGAAGAGGTATCACAGTGGGCGCCTGTTACGAGCGGGGTCCCACAGGGGTCAGTTCTAGGACCAGTGCTATTTTTGATATATGTGAAAGACATGATGGAAGGAATAGACTCTAAAGTGTCCCTGTTCGCAGATGACGTGAAGTTGATGAGAAGAATTAAATCGGACGAGGATCAGGCAGGACTGCAAAGAGACCTGGACAGGCTGGACATGTGGTCCAGTAACTGGCTTCTCGAATTCAATCCAGCCAAATGCAAAGTCATGAAGATTGGGGAGGGGCAAAGAAGACCGCAGACAGAGTATAGGCTAGGAGGACAAAGACCACAGACCTCACTCAGGGAGAAACACATTGGGGTGACCATAACACCGATCACATCACCGGAGGCACACATCAACCAAATAACTGCTGCAGCATACGGGCGCCTGGCAAACCTGAGAATAGCGTTCCGATACCTTAATAAGGAATCGTTCAAGACACTGTACACTGTGTATGTTAGGCCCATACTGGAGTATGCAGCACCAGTCTGGAACCCACACCTGGTCAAGCACGTCAAGAAGTTAGAGAAAGTACAAAGGTTTGCAACAAGGCTAGTCCCAGAGATCAAGGGAATGTCGTACGAGGAAAGGTTAAGGGAAATCGGACTGACGACACTGGAGGACAGAAGGGACAGGGGAGACATGATAACGACATACAAGATACTGCGGGGAATAGACAAGGTGGACAGAGATAGAATGTTCCAGAGAGGGGACACAGGGACAAGGGGTCACAACTGGAAGCTGAAGACTCAGACGAGTCACAGGAACGTTAGGAAGTATTTCTTCAGTCATAGAGTTGTCAGCAAGTGGAATAGCCTAGCAAGTGAAGTAGTGGAGGCAGGAACCATACATAGTTTTAAGAAGAGGTATGACAAAGCTCAGGAAGCAGAGAGAGAGAGGACCCAGTAGCGATCAGTGAAGAGGCGGGGCCAGGAGCTGAGTCTCGACCCCTGCAACCACAATTAGGTGAGTACAATTAGGTGAGTACACATACACAAACAAACAATCCACGAAATATCACATACTAAATCCCTCACATTAGCACATTTACATAGGGAATCCAACTTTACTCTTAGCTAATTAATCATTCTTTTACAGCTGCCTGAGAAGTAAACTTTGTTGGTTGTGAGGAAGTTACCCGTAAGTCATTTCTTAATTGAACCACAAGTTGTTAAGACTTGATCTATGTTGATCATGTTTTAATATCCAGCTTCGAGATTATATGACAGAGAGATGTAGGAGAGATGTGAGATGTAGTGGGGTGGGAATGAAGTGGCTGTGATGTGGGAGTGCAGTGGTTGTGGTGTGGCTTTGCGGGAGTGCAGTGGTGGTTGTGTGGTGGTGAGGGAGTGCAGTGGTGGTGGTGTGGTGGTGAGGGAGTGCAGTGGTGGTGGTGTGGTGGTGTTGTAGTGGTGGTGTGGTGGTGCAGTGGTAGTGTTGTGGAGTGCAGTGGAGGTGGTGTGGGTAGCAGTCGTGGTGGTTGTGTGGGAAGTGCTGTATGGTGTGGGAGTGCAGTGGTGGTGGTGTGGAGTGCAGTGATGGTGTGTGGTATGCAGTGGTGGTGGTGTGGGAAGTACAGTGGTGGTGGTGTGGGAGTACAGTGGTGGTGGTGTGGGAGTACAGTGGGGTGGTGTGACAGTACAGTGGTGGTGGTATGGGATACAGTGGTGGTGGGTGGGAGTGCAGGATGGTGGTGTGGTAGTGCAGTGGTGGTGGTGTGGGAGTGCTGTAATGGTGTGGGATAGCAGTGGTGGTGGTGTGTGGGAGTGCAGTGTGGTGGTGGTGTGGAGTGCAGTGGTGGTGGTTGTGGGAAGTATCAGTGTGGTGGTGTGGGAGTTACAGTGGTGGTGGTGTGGTACAGTACAGTGGTTGGTGGTTTATGGGAGTACAGTGGTGGTGGTGTGGGAGTGCATGTGATGGTGGTGTGGAGTACAGTGGTGGTGGTTGTGGAGTGCTGTAATGGTGTGGGAGTGCAGTGGTGATGGTGTGGGATTGCAGTGTGTGGTGTTTTTTAGTGCAGTGGGGTGGTGTGGGAGTCAGTGGTTCTGGTGTGGGAGTACAGTGTGGTGTGTGGCATTACAGGGGGGTGGTAGGGGTGCAGTGGTGGTGGTGTGGGAGTGCAGTGATGGTGGTGTGGGAGTACAGTGGTGGTGGTGTGGGAGTGCAGTGGCGGTGGTGAGGTAGTGCAGTGGTGGTGGTGTGGGAGTGCAGTGGTGGTGGTGTGGGAGTGCAGTGGTGGTGGTGTGGGAGTGCAGTGGTGGTGGTGTGGGAGTACAGTGTTGACGGTGTGGGAGTGCAGTGGTGGTGGTGGTGTGGGAGTACAGTGGTGGTGGTGTGGGAGTACAGTGGTGGTGGCGTGCGAGTGCAGTGTTGACAGTGTGGGAGTACAGTGGTGGTGGTGTGGGAGTACAGTGGTGGTGGTGTGGGAGTACAGTGGTTGTGGTGTGGGAGTGCTGTAATGGTGTGGGAGTACAGTGGTGGTGGAGTGGGAGTACAGTGGTGGTGGTGTGGGAGTACAGTGGTGGTGGTGTGGGAGTACAGTGGGGGTGGTGTGAGAGTACAGTGGTGGTGGTGTGGGAGTACAGTGGTGGCGGTGTGGGAGTACAGTGGTGGTGGTGTGGTAGTATAGTGGTGGTGGTGTGGGAATAGAGTGCTGGTGGTGTGGGAGTACAGTGGTGGTGGTGTGGGAGTAACAGTGGTGGTGGTGTGGGAGTACAGTAGTGGTGGTGTGGGAGTACAGTGGTGGTGGTGTGGGAGTACAGTGGTGGTGGTGTGGGAGTGCAGTGGCGGTGGTGAGGTAGTGCAGTGGTGGTGGGTGGGAGTGCAGTGGTGGTGGTGTGGGGTGCAGTGGTGGTGGTGTGGAGTGCAGTGGTGGTGGTGTGGGAGTACAGTGTTGACGGTGTGGGAGTGCAGTGGTGGTGGTGGTGTGGGAGTACAGTGGTGGTGATGTGGGATCACAGTGGTGGTGGCGTGCGAGTGCAGTGTTGACGGTGTGGGAGTACAGTGGTGGTGGTGTGGGAGTACAGTGGTGGTGGTGTGGGAGTACAGTGGTGGTGGTGTGGGAGTACAGTGGTGGTGGTGTGGGAGTGCTGTAATGGTGTGGGAGTACAGTGGTGGTGGAGTGGGAGTACAGTGGTGGTGGTGTGGGAGTACAGTGGTGGTGGTGTGGGAGTACAGTGGGGGTGGTGTGAGAGTACAGTGGTGGTGGTGTGGAGTACAGTGGTGGCGGTGTGGGAGTACAGTGGTGGTGGTGTGGTAGTATAGTGGTGGTGGTGTGGGAATAGAGTGCTGGTGGTGTGGGAGTACAGTGGTGGTGGTGTGGGAGTACAGTGGTGGTGGTGTGGGAGTACAGTAGTGGTGGTGTGGGAGTACAGTGGTGGTGGTGTGGGAGTACAGTGGTGGTGGTGTGGGAGTGCAGTGGCGGTGGTGAGGTAGTGCAGTGGTGGTGTGTGGGAGTGCGTGGTGGTGGTGTGTGGGAGTGCAGTGGTGGTGGTGTGGGAGTGCAGTGGTGGTGGTGTGGGAGTACAGTGTTGACGGTGTGGGAGTGCAGTGGTGGTGGTGGTGTGGGAGTACAGTGGTGGTGATGTGGAGTACAGTGGTGGTGGCGTGCGAGTGCAGTGTTGACGGTGTGGGAGTACAGTGGTGGTGGTGTGGGAGTACAGTGGTGGTGGTGTGGGAGTACAGTGGTGGTGGTGTGGGAGTGCTGTAATGGTTGGGAGTACAGGTGGTGGTGGAGTGGGAGTACAGTGGTGGTGGTGTGGGAGTACAGTGGTGGTGTGTGGGAGTACAGTGGGGGTGGTGTGAGAGTACAGTGGTGGTGGTGTGGGAGTACAGTGGTGGCGGTGTGGGAGTACAGTGGTGGTGGTGTGGTAGTATAGTGGTGGTGGTGTGGGAATAGAGTGGTGGTGGTGTGGGAGTACAGTGGTGGTGGTGTGGGAGTACAGTGGTGGTGGTGTGGGAGTACAGTAGTGGTGGTGTGGGAGTACAGTGGTGGTGGTGTGGGAGTACAGTGGTGGTGGTGTGGGAGCACAGTGGTGGTGGTGTGGGAGTACAGTGGTGGTGGTGGTGTGGGAGTACAGTGGTGGTGGTGGTATGGGAGTACAGTGGTGGTGGGTGTGGGAGTACAGTGGTGGTGGTGTGGGAGTGCAGTGGTGGTGGTGTGGGGAGTACAGTGGTGGTGGTGTGGGAGTACAGTGGTGGTGGTGTGGGAGTGCAGTGGTGGTGATGTGGGAGTGCAGTGTGGTGGTGAGGGAGTACAGTGGTGGTTGTGTGGGAGTACAGTGGTGGTGGTGTGGGAGTACAGTGGTGGTGGTGTGGGAGTACAGTGGTGGTGGTGTGGGAGTACAGTGGTGGTAGTGTGGGAGTACAGTGGTGGTTGTGTGGGAGTACAGTGGCGGTTGTGTTTGAGTACATGTGGTGGTAGTGTGGGAGTACAGTGGTGGTGGTGTGGGAGTACAGTGGAGGTGGTGTGGGAGTACAGTGGTGGTGGTGTTGGAGTACAGTGGTGGTAGTGTGGGAGTACAGTGGTGGTGGTGTTGGAGTACAGTGGTGGTAGTGTGGGAGTACAGTGGTGGTGGTGTGGGAGTACAGTGGTGGTGGTGTTGGAGTACAGTGGTGGTGGTGTGGGAGTACAGTGGTGGTGGTGTGGGAGTACAGTGTGGTGGTGTGGGAGTACAGTGGTGGTGGTGTGGGAGTACAGTGGTGGTGGTTGTGGAGTACAGTGGTGGTGGTGTGGGAGTACAGTGGTGGTAGTGTGGGAGTACAGTGGTGGTGGTGTGGAGTACAGTGGTGGTGGTGTGGGAGTACAGTGGTGGTGGTGTTGGAGTACAGTGGTGGTAGTGTGGGAGTACAGTGGTGGTGGTGTGGGAGTACAGTGGTGGTAGTGTGGGAGTACAGTGGTGGTGGTGTGGGAGTACAGTGGTGGTAGTGTGGGAGTACAGTGGTGGTGGTGTGGGAGTACAGTGGTAGTGGTGTGGGAGTACAGTGGTGGTGGTGTGGGAGTACAGTGGTAGTGGTGTTGGAGTACAGTGGTTGTAGTGTGGGAGTACAGTGGTGGTGGTGTGGGAGTACAGTGGTGGTGGTGTGGGAGTACAGTGGTGGTGGTGTTGGAGTACAGTGGTGGTGGTGTGGGAGTACAGTGGTGGTAGTGTGGGAGTACAGTGGTGGTGGTGTTGGAGTACAGTGGTGGTAGTGTGGGAGTACAGTGGTGGTGGTGTTGGAGTACAGTGGTGGTAGTGTGGGAGTACAGTGGTGGTGGTGTTGGAGTACAGTGGTGGTAGTGTGGGAGTACAGTGGTGGTGGTGTGGGAGTACAGTGGTGGTGGTGTGGGAGTACAGTGGTGGTGGTGTTGGAGTACAGTGGTGGTAGTGTGGGAGTACAGTGGTGGTAGTGTGGGAGTACAGTGGTGGTGGTGTTGGAGTACAGTGGTGGTGGTGTGGGAGTACAGTGGTGGTGGTGTTGGAGTACAGTGGTGGTAGTGTGGGAGTACAGTGGTGGTAGTGTGGGAGTACAGTAGTGGTGGTGTTGGAGTACAGTGGTGGTAGTGTGGGAGTACAGTGGTGGTGGTGTGGGAGTACAGTGGTGGTAGTGTGGGAGTACAGTGGTGGTGGTGTGGGAGTACAGTGGTGGTGTGTGTGGGAGTACAGTGGTGGTGGTGTGGGAGTACAGTGGTGGTGGTGTGGGAGTACAGTGGTGGTGGTGGTGTGGGAGTACAGTGGTGGTGGTGTGGGAGTACAGTGGTGGTGGTGGTGTGGGAGTACAGTGGTGGTAGTGTGGGAGTACAGTGGTGGTGGTGTGGGAGTACAGTGGTGGTGGTGTGGGAGTACAGTGGTGGTAGTGTGGGAGTACAGTGGTGGTAGTGTGGGAGTACAGTGGTGGTGGTGTTGGAGTACAGTGGTGGTAGTGTGGGAGTACAGTGGGGGTGGTGTTGGAGTACAGTGGTGGTGGTGTTGGAGTACAGTGGTGATAGTGTGGGAGTACAGTGGTGGTAGTGTGGGAGTACAGTGGTGGTAGTGTGGGAGTACAGTGGTGGTTGTGTGGGAGTACAGTGGTGGTGGTGTGGGAGTACAGTGGTGGTGGTGTGGGAGTACAGTGGTGGTGGTGTGGGAGTACAGTGGTGGTGGTGTGGGAGTACAGTGGTGGTGGTGTGGGAGTACAGTGGTGGTGGTGTGGGAGTACAGTGGTGGTGGTGTGGGAGTACAGTGGTGGTGGTGTGGGAGTACAGTGGGTGGTGGTGTGGGAGTACAGTGGTGGTGGTGTGGGAGTACAGTGGTGGTGGTGTGGGGAGTACAGTGGTGGTGGTGTGGGAGTACAGTGGTGGTGGTGTGGGAGTACAGTGGTGGTGGTGTGGGAGTACAGTGGTGGTGGTGTGGGAGTACAGTGGTGGTGGTGTGGGAGTACAGTGGTGGTGGTGTGGGAGTACAGTGGTGTGGTGTGGGAGTACAGTGGTGGTGGTGTGGTGTACAGTGGTGGTGGTGTGGGAGTACAGTGGTGGTGGTGTGGGAGTACATGTGGTGGTGGTGTGGGAAGTGCAGTGGTGGTGGTGTGGGAGTACAGTGGTGGTGGTGTGGGAGTACAGTGGTGGTAGTGTGGGAGTACAGTGGTGGTGGTGTTGGAGTACAGTGGTGGTAGTGTGGGAGTACTGTGGTGGTGGTGTTGGAGTACAGTGGTGGTGGTGTTGGAGTACAGTGGTGGTAGTGTGGGAGTACAGTGGTGGTAGTGTGGGTAGTACAGTGGTGGTATGTGGGAGTACAGTGGTGGTTGTGTGGGAGTACAGTGGTGGTGGTGTGGGAGTACAGTGGTGGTGGTGTGGGAGTACAGTGGTGGTGGTGTGGGAGTACAGTGGTGGTGGTGTGGGAGTACAGTGGTGGTGGTGTGGGAGTACAGTGGGGTGGTGGTGGGAGTGCAGTGGTGGTGGTGTGGGAGTACAGTGGTGATGGTGTGGGAGTACAGTGGTGGTGGTGTGGGAGTACAGTGGTGGTGGTGTGGGAGTACAGTGGGTGGTGGTGTGGGAGTACAGTGGTGGTGGTGTGGGAGTACAGTGGTGGTGGTGTGGGAGTACAGTGGTGGTGGTGTGGGAGTACAGTGGTGGTGGTGTGGGAGTACAGTGGTGGTGGTGTAATAAAGGACCACAACACTAGTATCATCACATCAGTATTACATTATAACATACCACCATTATATAATTGGGTAATATTACATTATATTTCTACTAATATACTTATAATGTTAAATTACATTGCTCATAATATTTTAGCAAATCAACATTGTACTCTCTCTCTCTCTCTCCCAACCTACCTATAGGGTCGAGGCTGGAGAAAACAGCGATAGGCAGCGTTGTGAAAAGAGCCAGCCCCCAGACCAGGCCTATGATGACCTTGGCCTGCAGACGAGACATGCGAGGTCTCAGAGGGTAGATGATGGCCCGGTACCGGTCCAAGCTGATGGCCACCAAGGTGTAGGCAGACACGAAGATCGACACTGCCTTCAGGAGACCAGAGAAATGGCTGGGTAAGCGATGGTGCAAAATAATAACAGACGTACAATGAGACACATTGATGAAAAGAGAAAATTTCAATCGGCAAACAACAGTTTCAGTTGAAAAAAGGCATTTCCCATTAAAAAGGGCATTTTCAGTTGAAAACCAGGCATTTTCAGTTAGAAAGGGGCAGTATCATTTGAAAAAGGGAGTTTCAGTTGAAAAGGTAGTTGCAATCGGCAAAAGGCAGTTTTAGTTGAAAAAAAGGCAGTTGCAGTTGAGAAAAAACACAATGTCAAGAGGAAAAGGGAGTTTCAGTTGCGAAAATGGCAATTGCAGTTAAGAAATATTAAGTAAATGCCAGGAAAAAAAAATGGTTTCAATAGGCAAATTGGGCATCAATTCAATCAAGGGCACATAGAGTCATCAAGGTTGCCTGTATGATCCATGTATGCCTGTATAGGGATTAAAGTATACTCTCAGTGTATATTCAGTCAGAGACATTCACCTCTCGGCGTATATGTCCTTCCAGTTTGGAGTAGTTAATTGACCCTAGTTAATTGGCCCTAGTTAATTGACCCTAGTAAACTGTCTCTAAAGCCTATCAACTAAACGAGAGTCATTTGGGCTGCATGTCACCTGTCTCCCTATCAGTCAAGAATACTTTAATCCAAAAAAAATGGCGAATTAGAAATGTATATATGTTTCATCATATATATATATACATATATACATATATACATGTATATATGCACTACTGAACTCAGTGAGGATACATCAAGAGAAATATGTTCATCCTAATATGGTTGGCTGGTTAATTGGGCTTAAAACCAATCAACACACGACGGTGATTAAGAGTGAAAGTCACTTGGATTCGGAAAGTCGGAGTTACTGTTCGGAATTCCTAAATTTTTTTTCGAAAAATAGCATTTCATGTTCGAAATACCTGAGTTTATGTTCGTGAAACAGCAGTTTATGATCGGAAAGTAGCAGTTTATGTTCGTGAAACAACAGCTCATGTTCAGAAAGTAGCAGCTTATGTTCGTGAAACAAGAGTTTATGTTCAGAAAGCGGCAGTTTACATGAATTTACGTTTGGAAGGCAGTAGTTTAGGTTTAAAAACAGTTTAGTTTCGGAAAAAAATACAAATAGACAACACATACATGGAAAAACTTCACATTATGAAACAAAATAAGAATATAATTCAAGCTTAGAGTGAAAAAATATATAGGCAATTTAAATTCACATTGTAGCCCTGTAAAATTGTAAAGTAGATCTGTGCACTGCAGTTAGGCTTTAGAGTAAAGCAAAAAATACACTCAACAGCAAATGCAAATATCTTCTTGACATTTTTAGTTATTAAAAAATTACATTGAAAAAAAATCAATGAAAGAAAAATCAGCTACCATACTACATAGCTGAAATAATCCTGGTTGTTCTGAGAGAGAAATAAATTGGTTTATCAGGTGGAGGGCCACGCTGCATTTTTTTCGATAAATTTTGGATATGTGATGTTTTGGTAAGTGGCTGAATCTTATGCCAGGCACTCGATTATTAAATGCCTGTTAAATGATCATTATCGTGAAAATTATGAGAGAGTATCAGGCAGGAGACATTTACTATATACAATTACGAACAGTTTTAGTCTTGTGGCCCTCACACCTGGTTGTATCAGCATGCAAGTATATGTACAATATATGCAAAACAATTTTTGCAAGCAAGAGACACAGTGAGAACTGTGGGCGACCAGACTTGAAACGTCACCTCTGTATATGTATATATATATATTATATATATATATATATATATATATATATATATATATATATATATATATATATATATATATATATATATATTTGGATACAGAAACTTATGTTTTGTATCTTATCCTTTTCACAACATTTGTCTGAGTCCCAGGTTTCTCTTTACTGTTAGGTGAACGTTATCGTTATTATATTCATGGTGGAGTGGTAATTCCGCAAGTGTCATACCATCTGGGGAATTTGAGACAAGCAATTTACGTCCATGGACAGTGAAGTTACTGCAAGTCTTTGCGATTAAGAGACTTCTACTGGCACCAAGGACCATCTCTTGAAGACTATTAGGTAAACAAGTGAAGCCGAGGTAAGGACACTCATCTACATACCTCTCTTTCACCAGAAATCGAGCCGAAGTGCTTTTGATTGCGAGTAATGCTCTACTACACTTCCACGCATGTAAAAATTTGAAAAGAGAAAGATATACTGATAGACAGATAGATAGAAAGATAGATAGATAGATAGACACAAAGAGAGAAGCAGAATTAAAGTGTTCATTTGTTGCGTCTTGTACGACACTTGAGATGCTCGCCTCAAGTTCCAAGACCATTTACTGAACCGTATTCGCTAATCTGACCTTTACTCAAGTGACCTAAGTGACTTTATGAGGCAGCTTACATTATATAAAATGACTATTATTCCCTGTGCGACATTAAAGCTAATCAAGAAATACTATGTTGAAAGAT